ATTATGCTAGTATATTCTGAAATTTCTAATTAATATGATTAGGAGATTCATATATCATTTCTAACCTATATAATGGCTGTACAACTATAGTAGATCTCAACCAATTGAAGCATACAATTATTTAAACAAACATGGTGTTAATTGTTAAAACAACTTTCTTAAGGGCTTCAACTAGTTGATTATAACACAATAAATATTGTAAGAGTAATTTCTAATTTCAATGAAGATATTTTTAATGGAATAATATGTTATTATATTAAACTAATTTATTTAGTAATATGAATAAAAACAGAAAACAGAAAACTCCCTTATAACATATAATAACTTTCCAAGATCATAAAATTTTTACAAAATCAACTACTGATTACATTAATTTAATTATAAGATAATTCCCAAATATTTAATTTGTTAAAAATAAATCAATTCAATGAAATTATTGCCACCGCAAGAAATCGAAAACCAAGTTAACCCAAAAGCCAACCCAGTTAACCCAAAAGCATGCAGGAATTCAATTGAGCTATAAAAACATTAAACACAGTTCATGGAAAATTTAGAATTTACTCAATTTTTCTAAAACGAAAACTTCTGGAAATTTTAAAGCTAGGTTCACTAGCAAGAACAGAAATAGAGAGCATAATTTGTCCAAAAAAATGGATAAAAGAAAGTTTAAGAGGGGACTGCTTGAAACAATACAAATAATATACAGAAGAACGCACAGCTGAAAAAGATTACTGATAAGATATTATACTACTTTTAGAGAAATAACAAGATTTGGTTGAAAATCTTAGTGATTACCTGTTGTTGCAAGGCGAAGATGTGTGCAACACAACCATAAACAGGATCTCTGATCCGAGCTTGAGCTTCATAGGCAATTGTAACAACGGCCTTACAACGATCAGCAACAGGAACATGCAACAACAATTTAGACTAGGGCTGTTCAAAAAAAGCCGATATCCGATCCGGATCTGCTCCGCTTCAATTAAAAAAAATCGGATATCTGAAAATTCGGATCGGATACAGATCATAATTTTAGAAAATCCGAATATCCGGATCGGATACCGGATCGGGGTTGCTAAAAAAGCGGATTTCCGTATCCGATCCGGATTTTACTAAAACTACGCCGTTTTGATTTTTATGCACACCCCTTTCAAATTTCAAATAACACTACAATTTTAATTTAACTCAAACTCAAACTGAACCTAAATCTAACTCTAACTCTCTCGACAAGCTTTAACTTGAGAATGAAGAACCCTGCTCGCAATTCAGTCCAGGAAGGAAATAGAGTGAAGTCGGTGTGATAAAGTTGGCATGAAGATAAAAAAATGTATTAGTATTAAGTTGGCTGTTTTGTTTGTCTTTTTATTAAATTTGTAATTGTAATTTGGGTAATAGATTCTGTGTTAAGTTGGCATTAAACAACTTGTGGATTAATTTGTTGATAAATCATGCATTGTAATTTCAATTTTATTAGAAGAATTATTTGATTTTAAATTTTTAATAAGAATTTTCTAAAATTCGGATAGATTTCGGATATCCGGAAAGCCGGATATCCACATATTTCGGATCGGATTCGGATCAGGATATATCCTGATCCGAAAATCTGGTTCAGATCAAAAATAGGGCCATTCGGATCGGATATCCGGATTTGAACTGCCCTAATTTAGACACATTACTGGCACCAAAAACTTTATGAATAGCAGCAAACCTTGCAGGGCCTTGTTTTGAGCAAAAATAAGGTGTAAAAATACAATCTGATGCACATTTTCTCCTGAGAAACTTGCATGCACCACAAGGAGAGCCACTGCCATTCCCAGATGATGCCAGGGTAATTAAGACAGAACTAGAATAGAAGAAGAAGAAGAGAATCTTAAAATGGAAAATAATTTAAGGGCACACGAGCACACTAGGAAATGGTGTAAATAACTCAAATAATTTAAGGTAAGGGTGGTAGGGGAGAGAAGGGCTTTTGAGAGTTGGGTTCTTTTTATAAGGAGTGTGAATGGGGGACATTGAGGTCCTATTTGTAGGCATTTAAGGGAGCATGTATTAATGGTTTATGCAATATGGGTTGTTTATTTTAACAACAACACTACGCATATGCTCTGTCTTACAAAGAGAGAGTGTACGCATTGACGTGGCATGCCATGTGGCGTGCCACATCAGTGACATGTGGCATGTGGGCCACAGTTCTTAATCCCCAAAAATTTTAAAAATATATATATATAATTTCAAACCCAAACTTCCCAGTTCCCACATTGCGCGACCTAAATCAAATTCCCTTCCCTAATTTCATCTTCATCTCAAATCAAATTTTACAATTCCTACCTCATCAACCTTTCCATTAATTTATGAAATTCCAATTTTTTCCCAAAAAGCCACCTTCAACAGAAGATCTTATTGATTTGGTTGAGGCGAAGCAACAAAAAAGAGTTGCATCTGTTAAAGAGCCATCACTAGCAGCGAGACTAGTGCCAGCATCCTTACCTATTCCAACATCTCTTAGCATTGATCGAGCAGCGGCTTCACTTAACAAACAAGACTAGTAGCTAGCCATTGATCTTGTCGATCCACTCGCATTAGTGGCGAAGGAAGAAGCTTTAAGGGCAAAAAAGAGGATATACATAACTATTTTACTGAATTCACTTGGGATAACCACCATGCGACCACCACTCTTAACCGCTCCTACCGCGCAACTACCACTCTCAATGGCTCCTACCGCCGTCGCATACCGCCAAAGCTCAATCACCACAACCACTGCCACGGCTTGTATGTGTACCTTAACTGTTTTCACTTTCACTAATAAACTCAATCCCAAAACCCATAAGTTCTTGTACATATCTCAATCTTCATTTTTAAATAACCAAAGTCATTACTCATTGCAGAACTGGGTCATGAAAAAAATGAAGTTTTGGATTCATATTTTGAGAAAGTTAAGATTTTGATGAAAGGGGGAATCGTTTTAGGGGCGCTTGTTTGTGGGGTTTTGGTGTTTGGTTGCAAGAGAGTTTTTGCTGTAGAGAGTGTAGTAAATGCAGGGTATGGAGGTTGATTTCATTGAATTTAAATTTGAATATTGGTTGGATTTGGTGAAAATGCAGAATTTTTTGGTGCAGCTGTTGCAGCTACATTGTTGCACTATAGGCAGTTCCAGAAGTGTTTTCGGTGCAGTGTTTGTGTGCCAGAAGTGATGGATGGACTTGTTTTTGTGCATTTGAGGAGGTATATTCGGGTGTTTGAGGAGTCAAGTTGCATTTTGACATTGTTTTTGTGCATTTGAGGAGGTATATTCGGGCATTTGAGGAGTCAAGTTGCATTCTGACAGTGTTTTTTTTCTTTTGTTTTTGTTTATTTTTGGTCAATTATTCATGGCAGTTGAAAATTGAACTAGGTCGGCTCAAGCAAGAAGAAAGTCTGATGTCTGACCTTGTGCATTATTGTTTGAATATGATTTCTATTGAAGATGGTGTTGAGCAATGTAAAGTAGTCGAGTGAATCCAAGTGCAAGTTGTTTGTGTACTCTATATGTCTGATGTCTTATTAGTTGTAATTTGTAGAGTTTTATTTTACTAGTTTTATGAGAGCTTTTGGTTAATGCAAGGATTTGTAAACTTACCCAATTTTGGGAGGAAAAGAAATAAAGAAATACACAAAATGCATTGTTTCGATTGCAGTGTTTTATGTTACATGTACAAGATACTTGCTTGTGTAAATGATACTTCAGGGAAATGGAACAACTCTTCAGAGAGGGACATTAAACACAAAATCACATAATACAATATTGAAATGCAAAAAGAAACAACATCCACCAAGGATATACATCCTTATACACAAAAGCAACACAAACACAAGACAACCAAACTCTACAATCTTGAGAGCCTTTACAAAAAAACCAGCAAGGGAAACAAGACGCACCCTAACTTGCCCAGTTATCCCAGCAACAGCAAAAAAAAAAAAAAAAAAAAAAAAAAAAAAAAAAAAAAAAAATTCACTACCAACAAAGAGAAAAGGATGCAGCATCACAAAAGCTGCTGCTACCACTCCAACCTGCCCAACCAATACTCCAACAAGCAGAACATTACACTACACACTACAAAAACTGCAAATGCACAACCTACAACCAACACTTTACACACTACACAACTGCAAATGCACAACCTACACCACTAGCCCACTAAACATTGCACAAACTGCACTTGTAGCCCATTCGTCCTGTTTTTTACAGGGGATAGAACCCATCAATCTGCACCTTATATATATCCAGACGTATATAAAGAAGACAATGCAATATTAAAACTCAAGAAATTCGGCACCTAGACTTTCAACATTAGATTTACATAACTAATTAACTCAACTCAACTCAACATCATAATATGCAAATTTAAATTCAATGATATTTGAAATTTCAATCACTATTCAATAGCGAAAAGGATATACACCTAGTAATTTTAAAGAGAATAAAAGATACAAAGTAAGAAATGGGAATTCCCCAAAGGAACCAAGTTCTTAGGACATGCACAAGAGACTAAGCTACACAAAAAAACCAAGAGCAGCAAAAGGATTTTCACCCTTTATACAGAAAAACCTATACGCAACTAGCGAAAACACCCACAGAAACACCAAAAATCAGCTTCCTGTGGCTGATCAAAAAGTGCACAAGCTGCTGAGATGCAACAGCCACTGTACAAATTTCTAAGACACAAAACCAGGTTTGCCAAAGCTCACATCAGCAGCTAGCAACCAACCCAAAATCACCTGCAGCACACCTAGCTATGCACTTGGAAGTAGTTGGCTGCTCTTGCAACCAACATACCAAAAATGAGAAACAATCTCGAGCTCTCCCCAAACCATAAACAACATTGCAACTAGACTGTAGGTACACCTAAGAAGAGTCCACGTCCTAGTCTCCTACAACATATATGTTGAAATAGTGATATTTATCAATAAATAGAATAAAAATAATGAAATAGTTAATAAAATAAATAATTACTAAGTTTTTACCTTCATGCTTTATCCTTTTTTTCTTGCTTTTGCAATTTCTTCTTTTTTAATTTACGAACAATTTGTTCAAGGCTCGATTGCTTTCTTTTGAATGGAGGATGACCTTTGCTACGAATAGCCTGTGGATTAAGAATATTAATACTCCCCTCTTTCGAAGCACCACCAACACTTTCACAATTCATTCTACTATGAGATGACAAGTTTTCTCTTCTATCATTACCACCAAAACTTTTAGTAAATATCAATTTATTCTGAAGATCACTAATCACATTCATCACCATATTATAATCATCCTCATTAGTAGATGCCAAGTCTGCTACAGTAGAAAATAAATTAGACAACTTATCAAATTGTTTTCCTTCAATATTGGTACTCCAAATATTATAACTTATCTTAACCTTTGTATGACATCTACTTATATTTTTCTTCCATTGTCTTAAAATGTACTTTTCAGGCACACGAGAAATTCGCTTATGAATCAACACCGTAATTGCATGTCGACATAAAATTCCCCTAAACTCAAACAATCGACAATTGCAGTGAACATCAGAACTTGCTCCATTAAAGCAAACCACAAAAGGAACAGGACGATGAGTCTCTCCAACCAGAACATCTTCTTCTATTATAAATTCCACATATGAATCAACCTCTTTAGAAGAAGATATTTGACAATAAAGCTTACTAGGAAGTTCTTGTTGGAACTCCTTGAATTTGGCAGTGGAATATGCATCTTGAAATTGTTTCTCAATAGCATATGTGCTTATGCAAGGAATCCATGATTTTAAAGATTCAAAATTAGCCCAATTTTCTTTCTCCACTTTATCACGCAATGCATTATCATATTGTTCCACAAATTGTTTTAATGTGGTTTTTGAATTAACATATCCATCAAAGAATGCATGCATACTTTCACTATGTTGGGTAGTAGACATACCTGCCCAAAAAGTATCTTTCATAAATGTCGGCGCCCAACATCGTCGTTCATTATACAGCCCAAGTAACCATTCATTGGCTTGGAGGTTGTGTTTGTCAATGAAACAATTCCGGTGTTCTTCAAACTCTTCATGTGTCAATGAATCATACACAATATTTTTGCAGAGAAAACTTGATAGATTCATATTGGCTATAACCTCTTAACTTTTCAGGCAATTTCTTCATTATATGCCACAAACACATCTATGTCGTGTACTAGGAAACACAATTTCGATTGCTTTTTGCACTGCCCTATCTTGATCAGTGATTATTGCTTTCAGAGCACAATTCAACATACATGCAAGCCAAGATTGAAAAAGCCATACAAATGTCCATGTGTCCTCATTGGAGATTAACCCACAACCTAATAGTGTTGAATGGCCATGATGATCAACACCAACAAAAATAGAAAACACTACAAGAAAACTGGCATTCTGCGTCTAACAAAATTAGACGCAGAAAGTCACATTTAGACGCTAAGCCATTTTTAGCGTCTAAATTCGGTTGTTGCCCCCTTATTTGCAGTAGGCTGGTTTTAGATTCATAGCGCGTCTATATTGTGGTTTAGACGCAAAAAGTTTTTTTTTGGCGACTATCAAAATAGTCGGCAAATGTTGTTCAAAATAGTCCCCCCACTTAGCACCTAAAAGTTGAAGGGTAATTTGGTAAAATGTATAGTGACTAATCAATTAGTTGAAATGTTAGTTTAGTGTCTAATAATTTGTCGCGAATCCACACAAATTAGACGCCAAAGGTGTAAGGGTAATTTTGTCAAAGGTTTCGCAACTATTTTATTAGTCGAAGAATGTATTTTTGTGACCAACTTTAGTGGCTAATTGTAACTCTTTTAGATGCTAAATGTAGAATCCAAACAGTTTTCGCAACTAATATTAGTGGCCGAATGTATCTTTTGGTGACTAAAATTTAGTTGTTAATTATAATTTTAGAGCGTGAATGTGGAATCCAATAGGTTTCGCGACTATTTATTAGTGGCGAATATATCTTTTGATGACTAAATTAGTAGTTAATTATAGTCATTTTAGACGCTGATGTGAAATCCAATAAGTTTTTGTGACTATTTTATTAGTGGCAGAATGTATCTTTTAGTGACAAAAATTTAGTAGTTGATTGTTATCATTTTAGACGCTGAATGTGAAATCCAATAAGTTTTTGTGACTATTTTATTAGTGGCCGAATATATCTTTTAGTGACAAAAATTTAGTGATTAATGTTATCATTTAGACGCTGAATGTGAAATCCAAAATGTTATCGCGACTATTTTTAGACGTTGAATATGAATCAATTATATAAATTACTTTTTGCTACTAAAACATTAGTTGCAGAATGTGTTTTTTTTTTAGCATTTCATATTGACGTCCAACAGAATGCAATTATGCTAAATGACTTTTTGCTACTAAAAAATATGTTGCAGAATGTGTTTTTTTCAGCATTTTGTATTGATCTACATTATACATTCAACATGAACAAAATAATAGACACATATAATTCAAAGAAGTGGTTTTATATAAACTGGGCTGTTCGTAAAAAATGAAGAAGAAGAGAGAAAAAAACCCATAAAGAAGAAATGAAGAAGGAGCAACGAAAAAGGAAAAAGAGAAGGAAGGAAGAATGGTTTGCTCAGTTTTATCTATTTGATTTTCTTGCCCTTGAGAACCAGGCTGAGATTTATGTTATTGACATACGTTTTTGTGATGAATTTGCTAAGTTACAAAGAATTGGTAATTTGGTTAGAATTTAGTTCGATTTAAAAAAGACATTTTGCATATGTTGGTGTTAAGCTTGCGAAAGTTGCATTGGTTTTCGAGTTGCGACTGCGACTGTTGAAAGTCGGTTATACAATCGAATGGAGATCAATGGATGAATGATTGTTTGATCACTATATGAAAAAGATATATGATACAATCGATAATGAGATGTATCTAACGTTTTCAAAATATGAAAACTCGGCGAGGATAATTGTAGAAAAATTGTTTATTTTACAAAAATTGTGTTTTTTGAAGAATTTATTTATTTTATACTTTTTATTGAAGCTCATCGTAATGAAAACAAGTGTGATTATAATTGGTTTTATATTTTTTTTTGGTTTATTTTACCCCCATATAGTGAAATTCTTGAATCACCATGAATAATAGTATTTAAGTATTTCATCATCAGTTTTTCTAGAATACAACACATTCAAGGTAATTTGATGTTACAGGGACACGAAATAATGAAATTCTTAGATCTGTCACTGAACATAATAGTATTAAGTATTACATCATCAGTTTTTCTAGAATCACAATACATTCCCAGGGTAATTTGATGTTTACGTGGACCCAGTGGATGAGGCAAAAGTTAAAGAATTCACTAGAGGGAAACACGGCGGAGAAATGTTAGACAATCGTATTTCCATGAAAAAAAAAAGAGGGTTTGACATCATTGAGGGACTATATCTTGCGTAATATATTTTCATTTAAGGGCAATTCGTAAAATTGGTTAAAAAATTCAAAACTTAAAAGGAGGATCCTTGACCCCCTTCCCTCTCCTGTCCGCCATTCTTATATATTCAACTGGTATATAATAAATACAATCAATTTTACAAGCATAACAGATAGATAAAATAGTCAATGAATTTACAAGGATAAACGATAGGTAATCAATATTATAAAAAAAATGGAGTGAATCTTCTCGGTGGATAATTCCGCCACTTACTTCTATAAATAGGGACAGTTGTTCGTCCAAAAATCATAAGCAATAGAACGGTAACTGCGAAACCTCGGTGCACCTATTGTTTATGCAGTCACTTGAATCGGCTGAACGAGAGAAGATGCCAGACTCTCACCAATCCTCCATCGTCCTCCTGTTGGAACTCAAAATCCTGCCTCCATCCAAGGTTTCAGTCTCTCTCTTTTCACTTTTCTTTTTCACTATTTTCATTTATTTTTAAATTCATATAACTATGACTTTGCATTTGCAGGGAGCAAAACTTCTTCCTTGGCGCAATTCAATGAGGCCTTAGTCTCTACATTCCGGTGCTTTTGGCTTTTTTAAACTTGAATCTCTCCTCATCGGAAATTCATCCTGCAAATTTGTACTCTTTCTTTTTATAGTGCTACCATCATTTACTATCTCTCTTTCACAGCTTGCACCAAACTTACATTCCTCACCCCACATACTCTCATCTTTGGGATAATTGCTATCATTTCGGGATCTATTGCTTCACAATTGGTCTTCATTGTCTCGCGTTTGACTCAGTTTATAATTTATTTTATGGCTTTGCTATCCATTGTGGTAGTCATCAACATTCCCATTAAACGATAAGGAAACATACGAAATGCTAGCAGAAAAGATGAAGAACATTAAGATCCCTGAAAGGATAAACAACTTTTGGAATAAAAACAAGTCGGGGCTTCCACGAGGGGATGATATGTTAATTAATGAAATAAAATTTTGAATTTTGCATCGTTGTTGTATGCTTGACTGCTTGTATTTACGCCGTTATACGGGGGGAAAGTGTTTAAGGTATATTATGAGAAGTGTATTTTTCTGGTGAATCGAGTCTATTTTCTTTGCTTTTTTACTTCTAACTTTACTTCCACGCCTAGTAAAATATAAATGAATAAGACAATTTTGTCTAGAATGTCACACTAACGTCACAGTTACAAGCATGAAACCACTTCTACAATAAATTATATTCTGCAGCCAAATATATCTTTATTTGGTTAAAGACATAATTACCCAGTATGATAAAATGGTAAAACTCATCAAAAGTTTGGAAATAACAGAGATTTTATTAAAAGAAAATAAATAGTGTAAGATAGGATATGGATGAAGAGATTAGAATTATCTATCTTAAACACATTTCAAATCAGTTCTTCATGAAACAAAAATGACAACCTTGCTGTATCTGTTAAATTGGGTTTGTCAAGTAGAATCAAATCAATCATGGTATTACCTCTACTTTTTATATTCACCATCAAATTTGAACAATCTTGTCTATTAGAGTCGCACAGTTACTGAATTTGTTTGTCTGTTTGTGTATGTTTTTATATTTGCATAGTTCTAATTAAACCTTTTAGCCCCTTACAGAACTGCAGTACAAAGGGAAAAGGCCGCTCCCAGATAAATGCCTAACCAATAATTCTTTATCTATTTCTTATATATTAGGATTTCTTACAAGAGATGCCAGACAACACCTAAATACCTAAATCCACGGTCGTCTGAAACTCACGCCATTAAATATTAAAATCCATATCTGAAACTTCGCGATGAAAGTATGTCAAATTTCATAAACCAAACAAATAAACCCCAACTATAATCACAATCATATGATTTGACATGATCAAAATAAAAACAAGAATGATATAAATTGGAACAGTAAAAACAAGTATAAACAAAACAGCCACCACTTGCGGACTTTTATGTGTATTATTAAAAAAATCTGAGTTGATGTACTTAAGTGGTTAATAATATAATTATTGAGAGAATTTATATCGATGTCAATCTGAGAGTTTTGGAGGATTAGTGAGATACACGTAAGTTAGTTTGGAGACTCTATCTAAAAAAGAAAAAAAAAGAAAAAAAAAAAGGTATATAAACAAGTATGATCATTTTAATCTCTCATTTTCGAGCCATAATCTTATATTAAATATACAAACTATGTACAAACTGATGTGACAATATTCTTTAATTGATACATCATTCATCTAATTATTGACTATTAATAATGATTTTTTATGTGTATTCATCCATTCATTTAAGACATCATTTTAAGACACATTAGTTTGTATGAAAGAGTTTATATATATATATTATTTTCTGTAGTGGGTTTCAACAAACTCTTACAGTGATCGTGAGATAATGATATATGCTTTTGGAAGAATATGGTGTATGTATTGCAGTGATTTAAACGTGAGAATAGACATAAATTTAATGGTTTTAGATAATATAGGGAATATGGTGTATTTTTTTCTTTTTTAATAGTATTATGTTATCCTACAGTTAACTACCCATTTTTAGTATTGTAGACTGTAGAGTAACCATAATTTAAAAGTTAATTTTTGATAATTTGATGATCCCTAAACGATAGACTAACTTGGTAGCTTTATGAATAATATTCTAATAACATTGTATCCAACAGTCTAAA